TTACAATTATTGCTCTACAGCATATTTAGAAATTATTATTCCTAAATGTGGTAGTATTAAACATTTGAATGAACAATATATTTTTAAAACATTGTTTAGAAAGCTGGCCTGCATTGTAAATGGTAACTGTATGGTTTGCAGTTTTTGTGGATTAATCCCAAAACATTGACACTGATACCCAAAAGGAGACTTGATATTAAAGTAAGTTTTTATATACTCTTAGCTTGAATTCACTGTGACCTAGATAAATGCAAATAGGATTACAACCTAAAACTCAACAAAATGAGGAGATAATTATTGAGATCACTTTAGATACTCCATGGTCCAATTTTGGAACATAATCACAACTCAGAGAACTTTGAAGTGCTTTTATGCTTTTATGAGCTAAAAGCTGTTTGGAAGAGTTCTGATCCTTTAATTGTATTACATATTAAATTGAATGAAATGTGTCTATTCTTTTTTTTAATAACCTTTAGGACCATACAAAATGTATGGGTTAGCATTGCTTCAATCAAAGTGTTCAGGAACAACTTTTATTTCATTAAAATTTTATTTTGTTTCTTTTAAGACTGATGTTGAAGCAATACCTGAACTCAGTCAAGTATGAGAAAAGAGACTTTATATACTTTTTAGCTCGATTTCTATCCTGAACCCTGTCTGTCATAAAAGAGAGGAAGCAAAATACTGTTCAAAGAAGACAAGTGGCTAGATTTCTGAATACAGGTAGAGTATGACTTAACAATTCTGACCAGAATTTTCATTGCATAAGCAAGGCGGTTGTTAAGTGACTCCCATCTGATTTTACCATTGGTCTTTTCCCATGTTAGTTAAGCAAATCACTTAGTCATTAAGCAAATTCTCATAGACTTTGCTTGTCAGAAGTTGGCTGAGGAGGCCGCAAAAGGTGATCACATGACCCCAGGATGCTGCACTGGTTATAAATACATGCCGGTTGTCAAGCACCTGACTTTAGACAACCACAAATGCTGCAATGCTTGTAAGTGTGTGAGGACTGATTATAACTCACTTTTTTTCAGTGCTGTAATAACTTTGAGTGGTTAGTAAACGTATAGTTGTAAGTTGTCGACCACCTGTAATGTACTCTTCACTTCATTTGTATTTCCAGCCGAGCTTGTTTCAGCTATACTTTCAATCCTTTTTTCAGTAGTTTTCCTTCTAAGGACGTGTTCCTTGTCAGATATAACAGATAATCAGAGTTGGAAAGGACCTTATAGGTCTTCTAGTCCAACCTGCCGCCTAAGCAGGAGACCCTACACCATTTCTGACAAATGACAGTCCAATCTCTTCTTGAAGGTCTCAAGTGATGGCGCTCCCACAACTTCTGAGGGCAAGCTGTTCCACTGGTTATTGTTCTCACTGTCAGAAAGTTTCTCCTTATTTCCAGGTTAAATCTCTCCTTGTTCAGTTTCCATCCATTATTCCTTGCCTGGCCGACAGGCGCTTTAGAAAATAATTTGACCCCTTCCTCCCTGTGACAGACCCTCAAATATTGGAAGACCATTATCATGTCTCCCCTGGTCCTTCTCTTTACTAGACAAGACAAGCCCAGTTCCTGCAACCGTTCATTGTATGTTTTAGCCTCCAGTCCCCTAATCATCCTGGTTGCTCTTCTCTGTACTTTTTCTAGAGCCTCAACATCTTTTTTATAATGTGGTGAACAAAACTGGATGCAGTACTCTAGGTGTGGTCTTACTAAAGCTTTATAGAGTGGTATTAGTACTTCCCTTGATCTTGATTGTATCCCTCTGTTAATACAAGTCAGGATTGCATTAGCTTTTTTGGCCGCTTCTGCACACTACTGGTTCATATTTAGCTGGTTGTCCACTAAGACTCCAAGATCCCTCTCACAATTACTGCTATTGAGCCTGGTTTCACCCAGTCTATGTGTACTTTTGGTTTTTCTTGCCTAAATGTAGGACTTCACTTTTCTCTACATTGAATTTCATTTTGTTAGATATGGCCCAGTGTTCTAGTCTGTCAAGATCCATCTGGATCTTGAGCCTATCTTCTTGGGTGTTAGCTATTCCTGCCAGCTTAGTATCACCTGCAAATTTGGTAAGTTCCCCTTCTATTCCGTCATCTAAGTTGTTAATGAAGATATTGAAGAGTACTGGGCCTAAGACAGAACCTTGTGGCACCCCACTGCTTAGTTCCCTCCATGTAGATTTAGACCCATTAAAGACTACTCATTGAGTACAGTTTGCTAGCCAGTTGCGAGTCCATCTAGTGGTGGTGCTATCTATTCCACTTTTTTCTAGCTTACTAAGAAGTAGGTTGTGGTCTACTTTGTCGAATTCCTTACTGTGTCAAGTGAAATCATTTTTTTACTATATGGATTTCATTGGGATCAGGGTCACATGTGGACACTCCAATCTAAATTCATTTTGAAGTTCAGATTCATTGCCTTCACTGGAATATCCAGGCAAGTAACTTTCTTCATTGTAGCTTGACATAGTTTGGCATATTAGAGCAGCTTTGGTATTTATTTATTTTATTTTACATATTTATTTGATTTGTCAATCGCTTACAAGGGAATAGGTATAAATATATACATAGTTATGAATACATGAAATGGGTACATATAAGAAAAATAAAAGAAACAATAGGACCGGGACGGTTGGCACGTTGGTGCGCTTATGCACGCCCCCTAGAGACCTCTTAGGAAAGGCGTGAGGTCAATAGTAGACAGTCTAAAATTAAAGTTTTTGAGGTTTGGGGAAGAAACCAGAGTCAGGTAGAATATTCCAGACATTGACCAATCTGTTGCTGAAGTCGTATTTCCTGCAATCAAGTTTGGTGCAGTTAACCTTGAGTTTGTATCTATTGTGTGCTCTTGTGTTGTTATAGTTGAATCTGAAGTATTCATTGACAGGTAAGTCATTGCAATGTACGATTTTATATACCATACTTAGATCAGACCGAAGACGGCATAATCGAAGGTTTTCTAGGTCTAGAATTTCAAGTCTGGTGGCATAAGGTATTCTACAACGAATAGAGGAGTGGAGAACTCTTCTTATGAAATATTTCTGGACTTTCCCAACTGTGCTAATATCAGATATGTAATGTGAGTTCCAGACAATGAGCTGTATTCGAGTATTGGTCTAGCAAATGATTTGTATGCTCTAGTTAGTAGTGTGATATTACCAGAGAAAAAGCTACGGAGGATTAGGTTAACAACTCTTAATGCCTTTTTGGCTATGTAGTTACAGTGTATTCTAACCAAGGAATTAAAATCACAAGTGAATTGTGCTCGTTTCTCCCCATTTAACACACATTAAACGTCTTTTAGTCAAAACTAATAAGTGCACCTACTTAAAGGATTTAACCTTTAGTTGTAGCCTTTCTGCTGTTATAAAAAAACTAATTAAATATATTTAGGGAGAAAGGAAATTTATTTTCTGGGAAGGCTTTATTCTATAATCACATTGTAAGAAGAAATGAAGAATACCACTTTGTCATGAGTAATTTGTGACATGGCCATATAGAGTTTTCCTCTGTGTGTTTCTGATAAGCAAGACATTGATAATTACCTTCTCTCAGGATTTTTTTTCCAGCTTAGATGCAGTATTTCAAATGACGCTATTCACCTAGCTTCCTTTTAGAGGGCCTGACAATTCTCTCTTGGAATATGAAATCAGGGAGAATCCGTAGACAATAAGCCTTCTCCACGCATGCCCTTTTATCATAGCATATCCTTAAATCCTAATGTACAATGTAAAAATATCCTAAAAAGAAATTGCATGGCACTCAGTATAGGTAGAAAAGCACCTACTTCTATACATCCTTACTCTTCAAAGAGGTCTCTGCTGCTAGGATTTTTCCTTTGCTAGCCTTCAGATAGCATACAAGAAAATCAAATATAATGTAGTTTTGTGGTACATATAATTCTCCATGGCTTCTTTCAGCCATAAGTACTAACATGGGCGGACAGACAGACACAGAGTTGACTCACTCATTTAAGCTTCCAATTATATATAATGTACCTATATTTTAGCATGTATGCTCTAATGTTTTGGTCTATTTTAAAATGTACTTTTAGCTATAGGCCAGCTCACCATACTGACCAGAGCAGAGCTGATATGGATCTAATTGTTTAAGAACTGCTTCCTTTGGGATGTTTGCAGTATTCTTTCTTTATAAATCACAGTGAGAGATCTATCTTTTAAAAAAGGAAGGAATCTCTGTCAAACAAAATTTCTGGCTTTATTTGGATGGAGGGCTAAGATTATGAGATGCCAAGCTAATCTGAAACATTCTACTGCACAAATCAGTGTAGATGATTTCAAGATGGTTTAAGAAACTTTTAGAAATATTTCTAAAAAAAATATTTCTAATATTTCTATTTTCTTTCTGAAAATGTAGGGCTAATCTAGCTTTATACCAGCTTTCTGGAAGCTGTTAATTCTTTACTGGCAACTTATGTTAGGAATGGTGTTTCTGACTGAGTAGTATAACAATCATACCAAAAGTAAGTAGTTAATTATGCCATATGACATTTGTTTGTTACTTCTTCATGTGATAAGTAACTTGCAAATTAACACTCTCCTAATGCTTACATCTGAATACATTCTTACATGTATTATCACTGTAATGGCATGTTAACTAGGATGAGATGTTAAGTAGAGATTTGACATTTCAAGAATTTTGGATGAGAAACTTTCTGATGTTCTAAATTTGATTTAATTGGGCTTTTTTTTAGACCGTATGTATTTTTTGTTTGTAGTTGTATCCCTCATCTGCATTCTATGAATTGATTGAGCAAATTTACAAACATTAATTTTAAACTTTGAAACTGATAGTGTTGTTTAATCATATATCCATATGTAATGTAACCAATTACTAATATAACCTTAGAAACAAATGTTCTCTCTCTGACACGTTCTCACCAAAATTCTGATACAGTACTATATATGGCTGTATGTCTTGCAATATAGGCAACATCTGTTTTGAAATCTTATTTGTTGTATGTTGATATTCAGGATGAAGACGGTTGTGAAGATGGCATGCCTGAGGAGTTTTAAAAGATGCAGACCTCCTGATTGAAAATGATACTTCTATGTTTTATCCCAATCAGTTAGGAAAGTAAGTTCAAATTAACATTTCCAACATATACATTGCACATTTATATTACAAGTCTTTTTTATTTGTTATTATTTAGCAGATTTAGAAATCATTAGAATTAGAATTCTTTATTGGCCAAGTGTGATTAGACACACAAGGAACTTGTCTCTGGTGCACCAGCTCTCAATGTACATTCTGCAGTAGTGATAGATCATTATCATAGTCATAATAAAAATACATTCATCATAAAACATTAGATATAACACTTAGTGATAGTCATGGATACTAAATAAACAATCAACATAAATCACATTAGGATACTAAGTAAACAATATAAATCGTAAGATACAAAGTTATAGTCATAAGAAGATAAGGAGATAGATAATAGGGAAGATGAGAGTAATGATGGTAACACTGCCTTTCTCAATAGTTTGACAGTATTGTGGGAATTAGCTGTTTAGCAGAGTGGTGGCATGAGGGAAAAACTGTCTTTGTGTCTAGTTCTGATGTGCAGTGCCTTATAGCATCGTATATTATAATCACAGATATCTATACAACAAGGTAGTTTTTGTACCATGCTGAATAACAAATTCAGTGAAAATCCTCAGTCTTATCAGTGAAACGTTCTCAAGAAAATAGACAACAAACTCAAGAAACTGCTTTTGTGTTGGTATGCAAATTTGTGTCATGATGACTTCAGTTTTTTAGGAGATGTTCCCTAAAAGAGGAGGAAGGGGTGCTCAAAGTGAGAGGCCTATCCTTTAGTTTGATGTGTAATTTAAAGCAAATCATTCAATACAGGAAGAGTGAATTGTGAACCCACTGTTATTTTATTTGTTTCTTGATTAGAGTAATATAAATAATATAAACAAATTACACTTTGTATAATCTGATTTAGCAGTTAACCATATAAATATTATGTGTCATTAAAAAACAAAATTAAAAAAGGGGAAATCTGTGGAAATCATGTATTCCAAATTTTAAAAAAACACGAAAATTTGATCAAATAGATTAGATTATAAATTTATTTTTATGGTACTATACTGTAAATTGATATTAGTTTAATTGATAAATAAAAGTAAATGATTACAATAAAAAGCTAAAAACTATAAAACAAACAGATACATATATCTTGTTCATAGGTGGCTTCTAACATTGACTCTATAGATCAGCGGTCTCCAACCCTGGCAACTTTAAGACTTATGGAATTCTGGGAGTTTAAGTCCGCAAGTCTTAAAGTTGCCAAGGTTGGAGACCCCTGCTATAGACCACCGAATAATTGAGGCATAGGTTTATTTTTCCAATGCTGAAGAATAAGTTAGTCAGTTGTAAATAGGAGAGTAAAACCCCACTTTCTTTGCCATGTAAAAGGAATGTAGTTGAAAAAAATATTAATATCTCAGAAAAAGAGCTAATTTAACTTAGTGGTTAAAGCATCATGCTAAAAACCCAGAGAGAGACTGAGAGTTCTAGTCCTGCCATAGGCACAAAACCAGCTGGTTGATCTTAGGATAGTTGCTGTCTTTCAGTCTTAGGAAGGAGGCACGGGCAAACCACTTCTTAAAAAATATTTCCAAGAAAATGCAAACTTGTCCGGGCAGTCTCCAAGAATCAGACATAATTGAATCAAAGGGGTATATGGGAAATGCAGAATACTAAGCCTTATACCACAATGGAGTTAATGCTTGCAATAACTGATAGGATTTATCTTTTAGGACAAAAAAAACTACAAATTCATACAAATGTTTCATTTGTGACAAAATTGCAATTAAATATAAGTTGTATTTCTCTAGGTAGAATATGAAATAATGTTTAAAGATTTCTAATTTGTTTAAAATGTTAATGCTACAATTTTGGTTTAGCATAATAGAATTTTAATTTCTATCCGGTTAATTCAGCTCAACATTCTCCTTTGTTTTTCTTTTACAGTTGCTACTGCGTCATAAGCAAATCATGATTACATTAACTGAACTCAGATGCTTAGCAGATGCCCAGGCATCCTTTCACATCTTGAAACCTTGGTGGGATGTTTTCTGCTACTATCTTACCATGATAATGCTGCTTGTTGCTGTCCTTGCTGGGGCTCTTCAGCTCACTCAGACTAGATTGTTATGTTGTCTTCCTTGCAAGCTTGAATTTGACAATCATTGCGCAGTGCCTTGGCATCTGATTAAAAGCAACATCAATGAATCCTTCACCTCGGCAACACCAGAAATTCATCCTCTTCGAATCCAGAATTACCTTCATAGGCAGCAGTATTCTTACATCGATGCAGTGTGTTACGAGAGAGAACTTCATTGGTTTGCCAAATTTTTCCCGTACTTAGTGCTGCTCCACACTTTCATTTTTGCAGCTTGCAGTAATTTCTGGCTTTACTACCCCAGTACAAGTTCAAGGCTAGAGCATTTTGTAGCCATACTTCACAAATGTTTCGATTCCCCTTGGACCACACGTGCCCTATCAGAAACTGTTGCTGAACAATCTGTGAGGACTGTGCCATGCTCCAAATCGAAAACATTTCTTCCCTCCCCAAGCAACATGACAGAGCTGGAGAGCAAGAGGCAGTCAATGTCCTACTCACAGACTGGACTAGAAACAGCTGGAAGAGAGAGTACTTCAAATGTTCTTGACCGAAGAGAAGGGGAACAAGCAAAGTCGATATTTGAGAAAGTGAAACGATTCAGGGTACATGTTGAGCAGAAAGATGTCATTTATAGAGTGTATCTAAAACAGATTGTGATCAAGGTCATTGTGTTCATTTTAATAATGATTTATGTTCCGTATTATTTAACCTTTATTAACCTAGAAATCAATTGTGTAGTTGATATTCAAACCTTTACTGGCTACAAGCGATACCAATGTGTTTATTCCCTGGCCGAAATTTTTAAAGTGCTTGCTTCATTTTATGTTGTCCTGGTGATTTTATATGGCCTGACATGCACTTACAGTTTGTTATGGATGCTGAGAAGTTCACTTAAACAATATTCTTTTGAGAAGCTGAGGGAGCAGAGTAATTACAGTGACATCCCTGATGTAAGAAATGACTTTGCCTTTATTCTTCACCTAGCAGACCAGTACGACCCTCTATATTCAAAGCGCTTCTCCATATTTCTCTCCGAGGTGAGTGAAAATAAGCTGAAACAAATTAGTCTCAATAACGAATGGTCTTTAGAGAGGCTGAAGAGCAAGCTGGTACGAAACTCTCAAGACAAAATGGAACTTCATCTTTTTATGCTTAGTGGCCTTCCAGATGACGTCTTTGAACTCACAGAGATAGAAGTTCTAACACTGGAGCTCATTCCTGAGGTGAAACTGCCGCCGTCTCTAAGTCAGCTATCCAGTCTTAAAGAACTAAACATTTACCATTCAACTTTAACTGTAGAATATCCGGCACTGCACTTCCTCGAAGATAATTTAAAAATTCTGCGACTAAAATCTGTTGACATGGGAAAGATTCCACGCTGGGTATTCTATCTAAAAAACTTACAGGAACTGTATTTGACCGGATGCTATGTGCCAGAACTGCAGAATGGCTTCTACAGTGAGGGTTTTCAAGACCTTGCAAATCTGAAAGCAATTCATTTAAAGAACAGCCTCTCCCGCATACCTCAGGTGGTTACAGACCAATTGCCTTCACTGCAGAAATTATCTATTGACAACGAGGGGAAAAAACTGTTAGTGTTGACCAACTTGAAGAAACTGTTAAATCTGAGAATCTTGGAACTGATCAGCTGTGATTTGGAGCGCATCCCTCATTCTATATTCAGCCTAAACTATTTGCGTGAAATAGATTTGAAAGAAAATAATCTACGGACGGTAGAAGAAATTATTAGCTTTCAGCACCTTGAAAATCTTTCTTGCCTGAAGTTGTGGCACAACAAAATATCTTACATCCCTGTGCAGATTGGTACCTTAGCAAACTTGGAACAGCTCTATTTAAATCACAACAACATTAAAAAAATCCCACCACAACTCTTTCTTTGCAAAAAGCTACATCATCTGGATCTGAGTTACAATAAGCTAATCTCTATTCCTGATGAAATCCAATATTTAACCAATTTGCAGTACTTTGCTGTGACAAAGAATCATGTAAGTAGAAGCTAATACTGCCTTTAAGTAAATTTTGTAGTATTTTTTTCAGATCCTTATTGTTTCCATTGATTCAGACATTGCTAAAATATAGTTCCCAGCATCTTTCATAGTTGGGCCATGTTGGGTAGAACTGCTGATGGTTGAGATTCAGCAATATATGGAAGACCATGCATCAACTTGCCTTGATGTAAATAGGATTGTATGAAGTTGAGTGTCTCATGGTGACATCCTTCATAGTTGGTGATATTTCTGATTTAAAAGTGTGCTTATAAATGTAGAGGACTGACCTTGACAGAAATATGCAAGAATTGTTACTTAGGCAAAGATGGCTGAAACATTCTCCATACAATAATATTGTGTGAAGTACAATAATATTTGGAAGTGGCTCAGACAAACATCCCTCTGATTCACTGGAATGTAAGAAGGCCAGCCCAATCTGATTTGCAACATTCCCTTATTATAACATGGCTCAGTAAAGTGTAGTTCTAATTTTTGTGTGGAGTTTGTTGTCTGGTCTACCTAGTAACCAGTTTGATGTAGCGGTTAAGACCCCAGGCTAAATACTGGGAGACCATGAGGTCTAGTGTCACCTTGTACGTGAAGCCAACTGGTGACCTTGGCCACTCCCTCTCTCTTAGTCCTATGAAAAAGAAGGCAATGACTAAGCATTTCCAAGAAAACTATAGGAACTTGTCTAGGCAGTTGCCAGCAGTCAAGATTGACTTGAAAGCAACAATGAACTTGAAGGCAAACAAAGAGAAACTACCTAGTACACCAGTGTCAAACTCGTGGCGTCATGTGACATATTGTGATTGGGAACACTTCACAGAGCTGGGGTGGGTGTGGCTTTTGCATGACACAGCCCACCAGTTTGACACCCCTGACCTAGTAGGACTGACAGTTGAAGAACTAATGGTGTTCCCTATGTTTTTCAAAGATGCTGTTTTAGAATGCTGTTTCTTTTTATATCACTTGAGGGTTTCATGGTCTGAACTGTTGATTCAAAGTCTACAATTATAAACAAACTGTATTAGTGGTGGTGCATCACAAATTATACAAAATTCTGTGCTTGTTTTGAAAATATAAAGGATAGCATTTCCAAATTTTATTAGCACTCATTGGAAGAAATGAATTATAGTTGCAGAAAAGAAACATTTTTTTAAAAAAATGCAATGAAATCTCAACTCTCTGGTACTTACAAAAAATTATCTTTCATTAAAAGCTTATTTTTTTAGCAAGTGTTTCAATTTAATCTCAAATCTTATTAGCCAGTATCCATGCATTTTCTTTTTTTTCCTCTCCTGCCTTTGCAGAAGCCATTTTGTAAAATCAAATTACCTCCTTTCTGCCTTCAGTTAGCATTCCCTAAGGAAGGCCATATGAGTAAGTGATACTTGCCCATATTTTAGAGATTTGTAGCAGACTACTGAATGGTTTAGTTCATTGCAGTTCTTTGTTTGGAAATAGCTTTAAAGAGTGAATTAACAGGATCCAATCTGTTAGATCTTGAAACATTATCCCAGGATGCTGGTGAATTAACAATTACATGAAATGTTGACTATTTAATGAGCCTTGGTGATGCAGTGGTTAGAATGCAGCACAGCAGGCTACTTCTGCCTGCCTGCCAGCTGCCTACAGTTTGGCAGTTCAAACCTCACCAGGCTCAAGTTTGACTCAGACTTCCATCCTTCCAAGATGGGTGAAATGAGACTCAGATGGTTGGGAACAATATGCTGACTCTGTAAACTGCTTAGAGAGGGCTGTAAAGCACTGTGAAGCAGTATATAAGTCTTAAGTGCTATAACTATTGTGGAATTTATTTAAAAATATACATTTGATTAATATGACTTATACATACTTTTGAAAGAGGAAGGAAAGTGTGAATATTGCTCTAATTTGAGGGCATTGCTTATACTAAGTTTGCATGGTATATTATTAAGGACTGATTTACAAATTGAAAACAACTCTTTATTACTTGTTTCTGTTAGATTGAAGCACTTCCTGATGAATTATTCCAGTGCAAAAAGCTACAGCACCTCCTTCTGGGACATAACAGCCTAATGTACTTGTCCTCTCGAGTTGGTGAGCTTTCCAACCTTGTTCATCTGGAGCTCAAAGGAAACTATCTGGAGTTACTCCCTGCTGAGCTAGAGGAATGTAGTTCTCTGAAACGGAATTGTCTAATTGTAGAAGAATGCTTGTTGAAAACACTTCCCCTTCGAGTAGCAGAACATATTTAGATATGCTTGGACAAAGTTTGAGATTGGGAAAAGTTGTGTGCATGTGGACAAAATCATGGTTCAAAGAAACATATAGACAAAAGAAGATAAATACAGGTTTGCCCACTGACTTCAGTTTCCTGAATCAACATTAAAATCATAAGCAGAAATGTAGACCTGGCAAGTAACTACATGCATTTCAGTCAAACCTGAAATTAATGTGCAGAAAATTAAGTGGTTAATCAATTACTTAAGTGGCCGAGATTGAACAACATTTTCAGCTCTAAAAAAGTTTTATTTTCCTCTTCCTTAAATGGCAGTTGTTAAATAGTTGTAAGGACCAACTAATAGATTTTTTTCATATCTTTTACTGTTGGCAGATACATAGAGGGAAGGAGAGACTATTTGTGAAAGCTTCCCTATATAAAATCTGTTTTGGAACTAAATGTTCACTTTTGTTTTTGAAAGATAGGAGTGCTTCCCCACATAGGCATAATGAAATTTCATTGGGATGCTATGAACTATGTCCAGATTATGGTACCAAAGTTCATGTAATCCAGTCTCCCAATAATTTTTTTCTGCTTTAACACTGGAGTTAATTATGTATACTTAAAGAAAAACAACTGGACCTGATATAATGGTAAAATCAAATCTTGGAGAACTATGCAAGTGTTAAAATTCAACATGTCACTTTTTTTTTTTTACTATACTAATGTATTGCTTGTTTTTCATTAAAAGGAAAAAGACTAGTGCTTTAATTTTGAGCAACAGTAGATATGTAATATGCAATGTAGAGGGTCTCCTTTCTTTTAAAAACCTGGGTTTGTTTTTTTCTTCCCAATTTTCTGGCCCACCATACTAAACATTTTAAAGATGTCCCTCAAGTTACAAGTAATTGTAGAAATAAGCACTTAAGAATATAGAGTATGAAAAGCAAGATATTTAATGAAAAGCACATGAATGCACAAAACCTATATATTTCTCTCTTGTTCACAAATGTCCTTTGAAAATCTAACATAAGGAGGAACTTTCCTATAACCTCATTCTTTATTTTCACTAAAACAGGAGGAAGATTATTTACCTCTGTAAAGCTGAGTCATAACTGATATTTTCTAACAGAGTTCTACTTTAAAGAACTAGGAGAATTTCTGTGATAGCATATTGAGTAGCAAAGGAGGACAGGAGGAAAAAATGATGAACACTGATCCCTTTAACACAGTGTTTTCCCTCCTTGGCGAATTGAAAGTGAGTGGACTTCAACTCCCAGAATTCTCAGCAATGGCTATGCTGGCTATGCAATTCTGAGAGTTGAAGTCTATATACCTGGAAATTGCAAAGGTTGGGAAACTCTGGTTTAACAGAAACCTCTATTAGACTGATATTTTTTTTTCTGTGAGTGGAAAAGCAATTCCTCTCCACAGCAGGAAAATCGAGATTAAGTTCGTTGTTATTTTGAATGCATTTCGGTCTTGTTTGGGCACATCATCTTTATTGTGGCTGTGGTGCTCTATGTGTGGGGACTTGGGGGGAGGGATTTTGGCTTCTGTTGTAAAAAATAACTTGGTTGCATGCTTTCCGAGAAAATGAATCTTTTACTTATGTATGATATAATCCACTATCTTCATTATGTGCCCAATTTTGTGGTTGTGTTGAATGAGATGCTGGAAATGTTGCTGTTTTTTATAAATTTTTGATTGCTTCTTTAAATGCGGCACACTTGTTTTAATGATGCCATAAATTTGAGTTGTTTATGAAGTGAAAATTTCTCACTGTTCATGTTATGTCCATCTGAAGAATTACATTCCAAAGAACTTTCAGAGTAACTCTCAGGGAACACACACATGTGTTGTTGCTTCATGGGTTTGATGCAACTCACATTTCCCCAGCTTTTTTAGTTAAAGGTACAATTTATTATACAGGTATCTTTTTTCCAGTAATTTTATTAAGGACAATAAAAGATGATACAAAGTATAAAAAAAAAAGAAAGAACAAATGGAAGAAAATAAAAAAGCAAGAAGCATCCCCCTTTTTAATAAAGGAACTTTGTAGACTCATCACAAGTATAAAAACAGTTTCATTAACACCTCTCCTTCTCTTAAATTAATGAATATAAAACTCTTCAGCCCATAGCCAAGCTTAGTAATAGGCAAATCAAGTAAGTAACATCTTTTTAACCAAGTAAAAAGTCCAAAAGGAGCTATAAACTATTAAAATTAATTAACATATATAAATAACAATGTTTCACATCTCAACCATTAGTTGTAAGGAAAACCCTACATAAAAGCATAAAAAGATCAAATTCCAACACAATATACATTTCTCCCATTCAAAATGCCAGCAATTCCAGAGAAAACTACCCCAAACAGCAACATTATTATATGCAAGTATAGATACTAACTATCCTAGACCATTTTGGAACAAATCATATCGATCTTTTGGTAACTATCTTCTGGTACCTTCCACCAGTCACAAGATAGAATAGTTCACCTCACGTTTCTTGTCCCAGGGAGCATAGGCAACAAACATTTTCAATGCCACCTGACCTGAGATACATCTTTTCCTCCAATACCTTCCTGAGGCTAATAGTCTTGTCCTCAGGCTATTTGAAGCCAGAAAGTAGGACTGATTCTGGTAGCTCTCATTTGGGCTAATGGATCCTGGCCATCAGTTCTAGTCACCTTGTCATCCATTAAGCTAAGTTGTTTGCAGAGATGGGCAGCTATAGAAATAGAATGAATGAATAAATGAATGAACAACAAACAAGTTGCCTGACATCATAAAAGTGGCTAAGCCATGGGTGCCGAACTCCTTGTGTCACGTTGCCATTATGTGACATTCCGTGACGTTCCATGACGTTTTCCCCATTCACAGAGCTGGGATGGGTCTGGCCTGCGCATCCGGCCCATAGGCTGTCAATTTGGGCTAAGCCAAGGGGGATTCAGTTATCTTCATTCAGCTGCTTATAATTAGATGACTAAGGGCTGTAGTAATATATGAGAATCACCTTGAGAAACAGAGCAAAGGGAATTATCTACCGCCCTAGGGAATGATCAGAAAGAGTGGATACAGCCCACACCTGTATAACAGGCAGAAAAAGAGGTTCAGAAGGGACTTATCCCCAGTTTTCGGGCTCCAAAGGTAATAGTGGGAGATTTGTACTTTCAGACTTGTAAGGCTCTGTTAATGTAGCTTTACAATAAAATTGAAGTACCTCATCTGGCCTGTTTTGCACCTGAGAGGGCTGTCATGTTGATTGGAACTATCTTCCTGACTATGATAAAATAAATATCCAAATTGATCAATAAATTCTTGAGGTGGGCTGTTATTAAAACCATCAGTTATCCATAGGTATCTTTCAGGAGACTTCTACTAGAGCTAATACTTAGAAGCCTTCAGTCATTCTTCGTTCAAACATTTGCATAAGTTGTCCTCAGAAAACCAAATTTGGAAAAGAATGGAATTAGAAATAGTTATAATAATACAGCCAGGCGGGATTCTGAAATAGATGCTAGATGAATCATCAAAATCTACCTAAAAAACCAAGACTTTACAACCTCAGACAATATCCTAGTTGACTTTCAACATTGATATTTCAGTCTCAAAGCCTTCCTAATCTGATTTCCAAGTGAATTGAGGCATATATCAGCCTAATCTCTGAGATTCAAGATTAAGTCTGCCTCATGGAGATGGCACACTCCATAAGCACAGCTAACTCAACCAGCCTTGATACTAGCGACTCCCTGGCACATAGGGATAGGAGGTAATCCTTACAGAGCACCTCAACTCTTGTCCCTTGGTCAAAGCACATTTCAGCAGGAAAGTACCAAAAGAAAAAAAATCCAGCAAGAACTAGGCCGCCTCCAGATACTCAGATCCTGTAACTTTGGTATATGCCACTTTAAATTATTCTTGGTCTACTATAGGAAAATACATTGGACTTGTCATGAAGGTCCTTTTATTGTATAGAGCAGAGGTCTCCAAATTTGGCAACTTTAAGACTTGTGGACTTCAACACCCAGAATTCTCCAGCCAGCATAGCTGGTTGCAGAATTCTGAGAGTTGAAGTCCACAAGTCTTAAAGTTGCCAAGTTTGTGAACCCCTGGTATAGAGCGAGCATCCAGCCTACATGGGCACTGACAAAATCTGTGCATTGGAAGGAGTTTTAATGTCTCTCCTGTATTCCTGACATTTCAAGCTTTGTTAATTGGAGCCTATTTTTTTTGCTTGTCACTCCAGAACTGGAGAAAAGAACTGTCTCCTTCCATAAGAAGCAATTTCAGGCAGCTTTTAAACCCTACCGCTAGTATAAGTATAAGGGAAAATACTGTACTTTCTTTAACCCACACTGTCTCTGCTGTAGAAAAAGGACCATCATGTACCATTCCATGTACCATTAAAGAAATATTTTATTTGATTGGTTTAAGAAGTTATCTTAATATTGAAAGATGATGAATTGTATCTTAAGAACATTTTCTTAAGGTTATCATGAATCTGATGTTCCCTGTTTGAAATAAGACTATCTTTTTACATTGTGTTTCACCAAAAATAGCTTTGAACATTCTCTCCATCCAGATATTTATCTTCGAAAGAAGCTTTCCCCAACATTTGATTCCAAATGTTTTGGATTTCCATCTCCTGCCAACTACCATTAAGTGACAAGATAATGACTTTGAGATCCAACACATTGGGAAGAATATGAATTAGAGAAGAGTGAAATCCTGTTTTGAAATAAATAGGAACACTAATGTAAAGAGTTTCTTTGGCATTCATAAAGAAATTGTGGTAGATAAGTTTTTGAAAATAGCATTTCCTGACATGGTGCTCACCTCATATATTTGACTACAAATCACCAACACTCTTAACTTAATTGGTACATGCTGAATGATGGGAGTTGTCATTGATCACATTTAAAAATTACAAGCTTTAGGGATAAAATGGAAATTAATAATACTTCTGAAAATAAGATATTTTTAAAAAGCTATAGGGAAGATATCTAGAGATGTGCATGTAATTAGCATTTTAATATTTGTTGCAAAATATGGTTCATAAAAGGCAAGAAATTGAAAGGCTGGTAATTCTAGCCTTAACGGATGCCACAGTGTGCCTTCTGGATTTTTTTTTTTGTGCCCCATTTCTCCAGTAGCAGAAGTGACCTATAAGTATTTTTAATATCCAGTCTGTTGCTTTCCATCATCACACTATTTACGTATTAGAAGGAAATTCTGCTGAGAGCAAATGAACTACTTGTTAAATTCTCCTTCATGATTGTAGGATAAATAAGCTTAAACCATATTTGTAGATAGCACTTATTTTATACTGTACACCATGGTGGTTCAGTAAATGTAATGCTGCTGGGCTTTGGGAGGGCTTTGAATATCATCTTGCATATGTTGACAGATTTATTGGGAATAAAATTTGAATAAATAATGGATAAATGGATAAACATCAGTTATCTTGTCCATGTTTAATTTCTCAATTCTATTGTTTTAAATTTGTTGAAGGAGCAGGGGTTGTATACATTTATAAATATAGAACATTTCTATTAACTATAAGCACTATCCAACTTATAAACACTCATACCTGCATTGTGGAACCATTGGATCCAAAGATTTTTCATATTTGCTTCTGTTTGGATAGCACTGCCCCAAATACTTTCAGACGGCAATCTAGAAATCCTTCTAGACTCACCAGTTTCTCATCAAAGAGCAGGTGGCCATGATTGTGCTGTTTGTGCCCATTCCTGCATCAGAAGGTCTTTCTTATAATTACTTGTGCCTTAAGTCCTCTCATGATCGATTACTAATACATTCTACATAGAGCTGCCCTTGGTGACCACTCAGAAGCTTCATCTGGTCCAAAATGCAGTAGCATAGGAGGTTTATGGGAGTACTTCCTATTCTCATATAACATTAAGCTCTACGTTCATACAACACTGTGCATAAGATGCACAGATCACTTGCAAGACTAGTAAGGTTAGCATGTTCTGGGTCCCCTCATCCCCTCCTTCTCAATATTTGGCTGACTGTCCCTCCCTTTCCTCAAATACCAAGTCTGGGAATGGTGTGACCCATTGGATGATATTTTCTCCAGCATTTTATATGTTCCTGTTGTGGTTTTTTATTTTGAATGCACTTTTATGTGATTTTTGTGGAGTCTATTATTGAAAAATGTAATATCCTTTCCTTTCTTTCCCCCACTCAGCATATGACTCAGGGCAGCATACATTTTTCAATAACAATAGACTCCACAAAAGTCACATAAAAATCCATTCAAAATATACATACATACATACATACATATTCCCTCCCCCTTGACGTTTGCCAGATAATCTCTATAAATTAGTTGAGAATTTTTTTCCAACAATTTGATAGAACTTGCTAGAATAAAGACAGAGCTGCAAAAGATACATTAATAGATTTTATATTATACATTTTTACAAATCTTACCTCTTTCAGTTTCAGAATGATGTAAGCTAGACAGCTGATGCAGAAATCGTTGCACACTGCAAAATCTAGCTAAGAAAATATTAGTAAAGTGCAATTTGCTGTTTAGGCCATTAGGACAATTTATTAGGATGATTGTCCAAATAAAAGATGACTCAAATACTTTCCCCCCACAAATATTCTGTAAACAGCAATTTTGCAAATTCATCAGTTTTATCTCCTATCCTCAAATATATTGGGATGAGATATATGCAGTATTTCAGAAATGTGTAGTTACCTAACACCAATAAATGGTAAATAAACTCAGGAGTAGGAATACAAAGGTATGTAGGCAGATTTTTCTAACAGTTGTATTTTAGTATATCAACTGCAAAGTTAAATTTGAGTTTTCTTTCTAGTGTTCTGACTTCCAAAATCGGAACCTATTTAGATAAGGAGGACAAAACCTACCTTTTCCCTAGATAATTGAAACAAAGGGAATATTCAAAACCTGAAAAGGTTAAGACCACTGCTTCTTTTTATAAGCCAATTATTTAGTTCAATAGTTTTATGAACATCTATGCTTCTATTTCCATCTATTTGGTATAACAATATTATTAAAATATTATATTTTGTAGCACTTTAATTTCTAAGCCTTTGTTTTTGTTCATATTAAATATTGCTGCACTGTTTTTGTCTTAAATGTTCCCACTCAAGAAAAATAAATCAGATTTTAATACATGTAGAAAACCATATATGGAGTTCTTTTGTGCCTTTCAATGTTTTTGTACTGAACTTTGCATCTTAGCTTCTACCTCAAACTTAATAGTCAGACAATTGACAGAGAACTCTTAACTGTTTCTTTCCTTTGTGATTTGCATTACATTTTTATTAACCTTTTTCCATTTTGGGCCTTAATAACCTATTAATTAGTATTAGCTTTTCATTGATTGAAGATTAATAAAGGAAAGGTGCAGACCTTTTTCATCCTCCCAAAATCACTAATAAAATTTTAGTTTTTTAAAATAGATAAATGTTGTGTCCTCCTTGGGTTGGGTGGAGAAATCCTGTACCACTTTCCTACCCACTGCACTTGTTATCTTGTAATTTTTTTATTGCTCCCTAATTTAGATAATTGCAAAAGCTGAAAAATTTGGATTAAGAGAGGAACTAATCTTTACAGTATTCCAGTCTCAATGTATTCCCGCCTAGATTATTCTAAACTCTTAGCACGTCATCAGGCTAACAAAAGACAATATCGTAATATTCCGAAGCACCATTAAATGGATGATAATGGGTTGTCACATGAGATTTCCACTTGTTGATTCTGCCAAATTCAGCAGATATTATTAATATTGATTAAATCTACGGTCTTGTACTAAACTCTGTCCATCAGGCTTGTCCAACCAATGCCCTTTGGGCCACATAAGGTCCTGGACAGATGTGTCATTTGATCCTGGACAAGATCATTTTCTTTAAAAAATGAAGTTTGTTATGTATATACAATAGCTAATATATATTTTATATGCAGCCCAAGGCAATTCTTCTTCATTTAATGTGGACCAAGCAAGCGAAAAGGTTGGAAACTAATTGTTGGACAATAATGCTAATTTTGAATCACTTTTTCCAAAGAAGTCTGAATCTGATTAACCGTGAATGTATGTGAGCTAGAAAGAACATGAATGCTTCTATTGAGACAGAAAGTGCATAGAAACTTTAGAATTTCCCATCACCCCCGCAATTCCTTATTGACTCTGAAAACTTGGATCTCTGAAGCTCTTAGATAATTTGATTACCACATACAAAAATCTTAATCTGTTAGAAAATGAAATAGAAATTTCCTCTGAAAACAGAGATTAAATAATTTAATATAAAGTGCAAGGATTAAACAGAAATAAGTGACAACATGCAGAATGCCTATGTCCCATGTATTATTTTGTTAAAAGCCACTGTAATTGGCTTGTTAATTATTTTTCTTCTTCCCTTTTCCAATTTCCTTACCTGCCAAAAATTGGATATGAGAAACAAATTATTATGAGATGATGTTTAAGTTATTACAAAGCAGATTGTTGCTATAAATATGTGGCAGGATTTACTATGTATTCCTTTATGTTGATTAAAAAAAACTATTCATGGCACAATATAGTCATTAATACAATAATTTTAAAATTTCCATCCAAACTATTCATGGCACAATATAGTAGTCATTAATACAATAATTTTAAAATTTCCATCCTTTAACAACATTTACATCAGGGATGTCAAACTCGGTTTCATTGAGAATCACATCAGGGTTGTGTATGACCTCAGGGGTGGCGGGGTGGCATGGCAAGCTTGACGTGACTCGTGTCGGGGACGCCTGTGGCAGCCTGAGCACTCTGCCAGTGCAAATGGGCTCCTGAGCTCAGTTTTCACCTGTGACAGCCTCCTGCAACCCTCTGCCAGCAAAAATGGAATTCAGGAGGGTCGTATGTGGCTCTTGCTAGCTCCGTTTTTGCTGGCAGAGACATTGCGGCTGGTCCTTTGCTGTTTCCAGGGTGGCACTGCGGGCCAGATCTAAGCACTCTTGTGGGCCGAAATCGGCCTATGGGCCTTGAGTTTGACATCCATGATTTATATAATCTGTTTTACAAAACATCTTTTCCAGGAAATGCATCACATCGTGTAAATTGAAAACATATGTTAAAGCCTTTTAAATTTAAGTCATCAACAATTCCCATTTGTTGCCTCATGTCTGCTTTGGCTTAGATGTTTGTGGGTTTGATTTTACTTGGGTTTTTAATGCATCAGATTAGGTCAAATATGATGCAAGCAAGCTTTGCTATCGGAGAAATCATTTGTTTATGTTCAACCCGAAATGTTGAAATTCTGTATAAATATTTATTTTTCATTTCGACTAAAATTGCTGCAGCGTAATGCAAGCTCACGTTTCCTTTTTCCCTTCAGACGAGAGAAAAATGTATTTGAAGCAGCCATCATGCGGAATCCTACTTCAAATTATATTTGTACATAATTTGCATAATTGGTATACATAAATACATTTAAAAGTGTCTATTGGCAGAAGTCTTTGACTTACAGCCATGACAAGACCTCTCACAATCACTGCAGCATCCCCCCAGTCACATGATCAAAACTTGGGTGCTTGGCAAACAGTATGTGTTGGTGACATGATGGGGAGTTGCAGTATCCTGGAGTCATGTGGCCTCTATGTGTGACCTTCCCAACCATTTTCAACAAGCAGTCAATGGAAGAGGCCAGATTCACTTAACAACCA